CAGATAGCTTAAGGCTCGTAACGTACGAAAGACATCATTCACGATTACTGTATCTTAAACTGTTTCGAGATTAGAAGAGAACAGGCCCAACTAGGAGGGAGACTATCAAGTCCTACTGTTATCATGCCATGGATTCATCCTATGGTTGAGGTTTGAACAGGGAACTCCTAGATGTTGTCATGCATAGGTTTCAACCTAAAAGTCTATCATCAAATCCTCATCAGAGGAAATGAGAGTCCTAAGGGATCATGTCAATGATACACCAAAACAGACGAAAGCATCAGCTTTAACAGTAAAATGCATGCAATGCAAGTGAGGGAGGAAATGTGTGTGGGGCTTCAGCCTCCACAAGCTCGTCTCGACCTCAAGCCAGTCATGAAATAACAGTAATCATACTGAAATAAACAACATGCTATCAAGCAAAACAGTAAACTGTAATCATACAGACAGGAAATGAAATCATGCTATCAAGCAAAATAAACACATGGGCAAGGGAGCTGGGCTCTACCGAATACCCGCAAGCAAAGCCAAGCAATAACAATACAATCAGATGCACTCATGCTCTTAGACTGAACTTATTCTAAATGAACTTATTCTAATGCAACAGACAAATCAAGCAAAACACACAATACATCAAAGAAAACAGAAGAAAGCCTCAGCTCCTCCAGCAGCAACCCAGTCTTCAGACTTCAGAGATCACTTGCTTTCCAGGTATCAACCCTACAACATGAGTATCAACTCATCTTCTCCCTTTGAGCTTCAGCTCCTTTGACCAGCTCCACCTTCAGGCTTTACTATCTCCAGGGATCTTCAGGCATCAACAAAGTCTTCAGACTTCAACAATCTTCAAGGAGTCATCCTCTTCAAGGCCTTAGCTTCTATCTTCAATGGCTCAAATGCTCCAGCACATAAGATTCAGTCAACAGGATGAGTGGGGATGTTACAGTGCTCACTGACTTCCAAAGGATGCCATTGAGAACTTAACATCAAAGGAAAGGCTCTCTCAAAGTTCTACCTTATAGGGCAAGGTCACTAATCCCTCCAAAGGAGAGAGGTGAATACCCTTAAGGGACTCTATGTCACAGAGAAGAAAGGAGGTGAACAAGACACTCCTTGTTTATTGAACAAAGTATTCTATCTGGGGCTCTGCCTATGCACCTATAAACCTATAAACAAAACAACAAAAGCTATGCTAAACTCCTCTGCAAGGTCTTCAAATCTTCAAGGATGATTCACAAGCTCTTCACAAGGTCTTCACATGATGCTCAAGCTCCTCAAGCCAACAACAACTCCAAAGCAAGGCAAAACTAAACTAAACTAGCCCTAAAGGCCACACAAACAACATTCAATTCAAAAATCAATGAAAAATACTAAAATACCCTACAAATTCCTAATATAAATTCTAGAGGATCCTATTTAACTACCCTTAGGTCCCATATATTCCCCATACACTAATTTGTCCTAAAAACCCCAAAAATAAAATTGTTCAAGTTCAAGTACACAACCTAAAACCCTAATTAGAGCACCTAAATGTCTAACAATCAAAATACATCAAATTTTAATCCACAAATCTAGTAATAAATCCAGAGAGTACTACAATGCACTATGAATCACCACAAAAAAGAATGGGCAAAAAATCTATTTCTAAATGCATGAACAAAAATATACAAATCCATGTATGAAATGAATGGTTAAAAAAGTGCATTTATTTGTAAAATATGCAAAAAATACCAATTAAAATATAAAATGCAATTTTTATATTTTTTAATTTTCTAGACATTTTAATGAAAATGTTAAAAAAAGAATGAGTTAAAAATAATATTCTTTCATTTAGTTATGATTTTTTAGAAAATTAATGAAATGTGAAGAAAATTGAAAAAATAAAATATACAAGGGAAAGAGAGAGGGGGTGAGAATAGTAGTGGATTCAGTTCATTTCATTTGGGCCAGCGCGCGTGGGGGGTGTGAATAGAAAGCAGACTAAGGCCCACACGGTTTTTAAGTGAAACGACCGCGTATTACGTTCCAGCCCTTCCCTCCATTTTCATCTTTCAATTTCGGCCGTTAGATGCGATTGAGAAGTCAAATATTCAAAGGAGATGGACGGTTGTGATTATGTCTTCTCCAATGAACCAACCTAGGGTTTCAAAACCAGTTTTCATGCAAGCAACTTCTACTCCACGTATCTCTCTCAACTCTCAATCATTCCTCACGATCCAAACATCAAAATTCATCTACTCCTCTCCCTCTACACAACCATGGTGTTAGAATTTTCTAACTCTCCCTCAAGAAAAAGATACGAAGGCTACAAGTCTTGTCCTCCATTCTTATGCTCTGGTTTGCATGGTTATGAAATGATCTCATATTAATCAAGATTATACCACATGCTAAGGGGATCATGCTGAGCTAAAAACCTAAGAATATAGTAGCCTAGGGTGCGTGTTCTTGATCTCTAAAGTTTCATGTCAAAACTTCAACCTCCATGAATCATGCTCAAAGTCTTAAGATCTCATCATCTAGCCTAGCCTTGCCATTCTATGCCTAAAACATGGTATATCTACGCATAATTAAGGTGAAAAGGAGAAGGAAAAGAACCTGTCAAGAATGAGAAGAAGGTGATGCTATGGCACGATTCAAGCCTTGTAACTTCTCCACAATGATCTTCCAATGATGCTTTACTTTCTGTATGCAAAATCCTTGAAGATGAGAGCTTGTAGTAGTGACTTTGCTCTTGAAATGCAACTACGGTGCACCTTGAAACCCTAGCTCGAATCTCCTTCTTCTCTCCTCAATTCTTCAACTTTCACCAACCCCTGAACTCTCTTCATGGCCCTCTTTAAATAGCAAGTGATGGAAGGGGCTAGAATCATCTAGATCTTTCTAGAAAGTATTGAAAATATCACCACATGAGAACTTGAAATATCATGATATCTCCTTTCATACCTTGCCAAAATCCCTTGAATATGTCTTTACATGAGATATTAAGTGTGTATGAAGGAAATCAGCCCTTACATTTGGCTTGTGTAAGGTTTTTCAACATTGCCTTATAATGCAAGTAATAGATTTACAAAGAAAGTCCCTTTTTTAGACCTCAAATGAAAAATCTATTTGAACCAAAGTTCTCAAAATATGTCTTACACTCAAAATGGTATATTGGATGACCTATTTTGGATTCCTAGATCCTCCAAACCAATTTTCAAATTCAACTTTTCAAACTTATATGCCATTTTTAGTTCATTTTTGACCAATCATGTAACTTCATGCTATGAGCTTTTCCAACAATTTGTGACCTTCTTTCTAGACTTAAAATCACATTTTGAACAACTTTCATGTTTTGAGTTTTTCCATTTGAGGCTTGGAAATAGGAGTTTTAGGCATTGGCTAAAATGACCTTTAACTAACAAATGACCAAAATACCCCTGTCTTGTTCAAACCATAAGTTGAGTTCCACAAATCCTATCAATGACTTCTACCACTAAAATCAAAGCTAAGAAGATGCCCTCCAACATTCATGTTGACCAAGAGATCATAGGAATCATCCTACTAGGGCAAAAGTTGTCTGCAAGTTGGGTGACTTTTAAGGACCCAGATTCACACACCTCTGCTGACCTGTAATTTGTCCAAACCATAACTTGAGCTCTGTAACTCCTATCAAGGACTTCCACCACTCAAATTAAAGCTAAGAACAAGCTATACAACATTCATGTTGTGGAGAAGATGAGATATCAATCACATCTAGAGCTAAAACTGCCTGGAAGATAGGGATCAAATTAGGGTTTTTTCACTGACAATCCTTGGAAACCCTAACTCAAAACTTCTCAAACTCCTCAATCATGATGAGTTGGTCTAGGAATCATCTTTATAACATCTCTATGCATCATTCCATTATCTCATGGCCCTTGGATTAGGTCTCAACCTTCTCCAAATCTTCAGCTGATCTAGGGTTGGCCCAGTCAAAACCCTAATTCTATCATTAATGGTTGAATCTTCTGAACCCTTGCATAATGACCTCCCTGGGCTTCATGATGGCTATCAAGACATCTCATAGGCTTTCTCCAAACATCAAGTTCATTCTCAAAATCTCAGAATCATCTGAGGAGCACCCACAACTCTCAAGCTATGAAGCACACAACCCTGGTTTCAATCCACTTCCTCTGAGGATCTCTTGAACTTTCTGATGAAGGTATCCATTTCCAAACACTCAATGAATAAATAATCGTTGGTCAAATTTTGGGGTGCAACAATGATCAAAAAATAATTAAAAGCATTTTAAGACTAAGTATGAGCATTAAACATAAACAGTATGATGTTTCGCAAGTTGTTTATTACTGCATGATGGTGAGAGAAAAACTTAGTCAACATTACATGAGGATGGAGATACATTAATCCAAAAACGATGTCACACAAGTATCTCCTCGCAGTCTCTTCACCTAAGCTACAAGCTCGACCAGAACCCTCACAAACCCATTTGTCTTCGACATATTCAAGTACTGTATTCAGAAAAAAGAAAAAAAAATCAGTAAGTCAAGCTTATAAACAAAAGTGAGACTCGCATCTTAGAACTTTAGAGATAGGTTTGGATTTAGGGAACTCCATTGTCCATGTCCCAACAGATCTCAGACTCTCTTTGTCAATAGTTTTCTCTCTTCCTTTCTCTTCATACTCATTATCATTCCATAGATATGCAAGCATGTGACAAACTAACATCATCATCCTCAATGAACTTCACAAAATCAAACAAACAACAACAAACCAGAACTGATAAAAATAGAGAAGTCAAAACCTAAAATAAAGTATAACAAAATAAAATAAAGCTTCAATGTGATAAATTAACAGCAAGACACAAAATAAACAACAATAAATCAGCCATGAATGAGAAGTAAATTTGAAAAATGATGTTAAATATAAACAAAAACATCAACAAACCATCTTGAATTAGAAGTAGATAAAAAATTCAAAGAGATAAGAAAAAAACAGAATTGAAAAACCTGTTACACAAATCAGTGATAAGAACCTAAGGTTTCATTCCCTTCAAGTTCATATAAATGAGGAACATTTTCCTCTCCTTTCTTTGTCCTTGTAAGCTGAAAAATATCGTGAAGGATAAACAATAATGAGTTAAAGAAGCTTACAATGAAAGACAATCATATAACTACAACATTTTAATAAGAGAAATTTATCATTCACTTGGGACAAAAAAATGGTATAACATCAATGTTCAAACTCTAATCCATATTATTTAAAATATCAAGTAACTACAAAATCTCTTCACTTAAGCATAGATTATACGGGCATATACCTCCTTCTGAAGTCGAAGATAATATCTAGTCTTCTCCGCAAGTTGAGCTCTCAATGCTAAAAGCTCATGTTCCATATCCATGACCTATAGATCAATCAACAATGAACATATTCATTTCCTTGAAATAACTTGATGAAGTTGAAGAAAATATGAAGAAATCCAATTCCCGGTGAGACTGAATAGGGATAGTTGTCACACCCTCATTTTCACCGTTAGCCTTTTATACCCTACATTCGGCATATCATACACCATTCTATTATGTATCGAGCATGCGGGTTCACAAGGTACGAGCTAGGCCATTTGGTTGTAACTTGTCTATTTTCGGACTACATGAAAAAAGGTTCATCACCTAAGGTTTGATCTGAGGAAAAATTCTACTCATGAAAATTTTGGCAAGGGGAAGTTACTTGACAAAATACAAGGATATTCAAGATAAATATTAATAGACATGAATGCTAGGCCAAATCCAAAGCTCCTTCATACATGTTTATTTTTATGGCATAAGTGGAGTGCAAATTATTAAGGCATGAATCAAGATCATCAATGCATAATTCAAGATTTCATTTTTAAGCACATGAGGGAATCCATCATCCAAAATTCAAGATTCATGAATGGAGATAAAAATAATACTAAGAGGAATTTTGTGACATTACAATCATGTAATTTGTTACAAAAATTCCAACTCTAGATAATGTTTAGAAATTAATCTATTTTTAAATCTTCATTCAAGTCTTTAATCAAATCTATGATATGGCACTCTTCATACTACACCATTTTTTTTCATGTGCTACATTATGCTCACAAACATCCAAGAAATATGCAAGAATTAAATCAACATTGGAATGTTTATGGGCCAAGATTATGCATGTTCAATCATAGGCAAAACAGCCCCATGCAAGAGTTGAAGAATTACTACATGTCACAAAATCAAGAGGACAACATGTACTATGTTACAAGATCATTTTTTATGTCACAAAGTCAAGGAAATAGCATGCAAATGATATATTTACTTGCTAAATATCAGTTTGCAAATGCTGTCAAAGAGTGGTAACAATTGGCTACATGGCAAGACACAAAGCAATACCATCCAAGAGACTAATGGGCAAAAAGAGGGATAATAGTATAGTATGCTACAGCAGAAAAATGCAGCAAGTCATACTAGAAATAGAAGGGAAAAGTGGGGCTGCACAAAAGGAAGAAAAAGGCATTGCCAAGAATGGAAAGTTGGTGATGAAAAGGTGTGCAAAGTGTGTGGCTTTGGGACAGCAGAAAAAGTTGACAGAAAAGGTGGAAAATGGGCTGCAAACAAGCATAGAAAACATAGTATTCCTTACTATCAAAAGGGAACACAACACAAGAAGCAAGCAGAGTAGAGACTACACATAGAGAGCAAAGAGTAAGAGCAAAAAACCAGAAAATAGTTAGCAAGAAACCCCCAAAAAACAGAAAAAAAAGAGAGTGAGATAGAGACACAAGAGGATCATTGAGAAACCAAACCTTCACAACATAGAGTGAAGAGGGGAGAGCACATCCAACAAAGGTCATTGGAGTACTTGCAAGAAGGATAGAAAGCTCTTGGTATCCATTTCTTCAAATCTTTCTCCTTTTATTCTTTGCTTTTATATTCATTTCATTCACTCTTTTATGTGTTGTTGAACTGTATATCATGTAAGATCCCCTAAGGGACTAAGAAACCATCCTCAAGGAACCACAAAAACGAAACGAAAACATAAAAAAAAATGTGAGATTTCGACCTGGACCAGCAACACGGGCCGTGTCACACGACACGGCCGACCGTGTCACACGACACGGCCGACCGTGTCACGCTACTGTATGAAGTTTTTTTCCCCAGGCCTTGCAACACGGGCCATATCACACAACACGGCCGGGCGTGTTGCATCACTGTTTCAACTTTTTTCACCCGTGTCACACCACTGTTTCCTCCATATTTTTGTACCGGTTTTACCTTAAAAAAATTTTTTTGTGCCGTTTTTTTTGTGTGTCTCGTTTTTTTTTAGCCGTGTGGCTTATGTTTGTATGATGTTTGTATGTGAATATTGTTATGGCCCTTGTTGACCTTTGTTTCCAAAAACTATTTTTAAAAGTAAACTCTCGATTTTATCGAGCCATTTTTGACCATGTAAGTCGGATGCCTTGTGCACCGCCATCGACCTAAATCGCATCACTTCAAATATCTTTACAAGCAATAAATCTTGATCCAACGTCAAGTGTTTCTCTTTTCGCATAAAAATACAAAAAAAAACACAATAAAATATATGATTGGAATTATGCACCATGAACTTTAAAGTGGTGGAGAAGGAATGAGAATGGAACCCTCTTACACTCATTCCGAATGTTTCGAATACAAGGCGCTCGACTTGGTTATTCGAGACATTCATCTCTATCCAAAGTCTTTTGTATAATCCTAGTCAAGAACACATTTTCTTCAAAAAAAACTAAAAACAACATCAACTCATCAAACTATTTTTGCCTTAGGGCGTCAATCCAAAAAAACCTTTTTCAAGGTATAAAATCAACCAACAAACAACAATTTCATAAAGCCTCTGAACTACGGAGCTCTGATTCTTCACTTCTTTTAAGTGAGGATACGTAGGCACAAGGGCCACAATCCTTGGCGAGCATTAAAATAAATAAACCAATCCCTCTTTTCCTTAAACAAGCAAACTTTTAGAATAAAACACCCATTCACGCGAAATAACCTAGGAGGTTCCCATCGAGTACGATGGATGCGAGGGGGTGCTAATACCTTCCCCTCGCATAACCGACTCCCGAACCCTAAGACTTGGTTGCGATGACCACGCTCTTTTCCCAAAGGTTTTATCGCTATTTCCCTTTCCCCCGTGGGATAAATAAAATTCGGTGGCGACTCTGTGTCATTTTTCGCGTAGCGACAATAGTATTTCATGTATACCTTGCTTGGTTGATGGATCATTTTGATTCTTCGAGCCTCTTGAACCTCCTTCATTAATTGTTCCACGTCCTAAAGGAATAAAATCAAAAAAAATTCACACAAAAATTTACTCACTTAACCGATCTACCAGTATTAGTTTCCTGACAAAAAATCGAGATAAGGCACAAACCTGCTTCCCAGAAGCTTGAGACATTCTCTCGTCACAGGTGAAAAAGCCAGAAGAACAAAAGTCCTCCATCTTCCAAAAAAAACCTCTCACGATATCCCTCTTTCAACGGCGATTTTAATGGCGGCGGATTTAGCGGAAGAACAACAATGTCAACTTGGAAAACAACAGAAGCAGAAGAAACGAAAACCCCAAAAAAAGTGAAGAAACGAACCAGAAATCTTTGATGTTAGCAGAAGTTTGATGATGTTTGTGGGGAGGAGGGAGCAATATAGTGGGATTACAAGAAGTTTGATGGGTAACTCAAAGTTCAGATGTTTGTGGGGGAGGAGGGAAACAAAGCTTGGCTGCATCCAATCCACACTTGACAGATGACAAAAGGTGAGGGATTTCAAAGAGAGGAATTTTGACATTTAGGTGTTTACTGTTTTGTCCAATTTGTAGTGTAATAAATTTTAAAAGAAAGGGCAGTGAGGTAATCTTAGTCAAATTTTTTTTAAAGTGTTGATAGTTGATGAGATTAACTTTTATACCAGAAAAACTAGGTAACATAGTTTTAATGGCAATAAAGATTGGCATATTATTCTGTCTTATATAGGATCCATAGCACTTGTTATCCAATCAACATTCTCTAAACCGGACATAAGGTTTCCATTTCCAGAGAATTTACATATTATACATAATTATTTAGTCATTGAAATTGACACTGAAGCAATGTTTGATTCCTAACTTGGTCGTCTAAACTCTGACAAATCTGTTATGTTATCAATGGTTGTTGTGAGGCATTACCTGACACATTATTAACAAATATATTTTCTTTTTATCGAAAGATCCAATCAAGCTTAGCTCTTCTAGTGGATGATCCCTGCGGCTATTAGCATGATTGCGGATTAAACCATGCTAAATGTACTGGTTCACAAATTTAGTTTTTTCAAGGTGATTTAATGCATGAGAAAATGCTTTCATTAGAAGTAAAAAAAATTAACTTCTGAGTGTATTACTATTAAACCATTTAACTGTAATCTATAATTCAGAATTCAGGAATCATATGTTGAATGTTGTATCATATGTTTTTACAAAAATACAAGATTTTGATCTTAGAAAAAAAAAGTTTCATTATTTGCATTTTATTAAAGAATAGTGGTACTTAATTTTCTCCGAACATTCTGAACTATAACTTTAAATGCTTTTCACTCATTAATATAATTTATTTTACAGGGAGTGGAAATATATTTGATTAGAAAAATGAATGATTGTGATTTGATTAAATTAAAAAGTCATTATTATTTTTTATACATTATATTTGAAATTTCAACCGAAGTGCTACTGGATTTCTTCCTATACTGCACTCACTCATTGAAATAGAGAAAAGTGAAAAAGAGAAAGGGTCATTTCCATACCTAGTCACATATCACAATAATATTAAAATTATAAAGTGTGAAGTAAAAAGATAAAGAAAAAAAAAAGTTAAGTGTGCTAGAGGGATAAAAATAAACATAATATTCCTACTTGTAATGCATTATATTATTTTCTTCTAAAATCTTGAGTTTTGATCTTTCTCTTAGATTTTTAAAATTGAATAATTCACTGTCTAGGCATTCTTAAGGCTTCTTTTTGTCTTAATAGTCGGATACTTATTTAATTCTCGTGCTACGGCTAACAAGCACATCTAAGAACATTAGTGACACTTTAAAAAAAAATGTTGAGAAAATAGAAGACGTACGAGATTGACAATATAAAATAAATTTATGCTACTATTTGATAAATGATATGCATTTCAACATATCAAATTAATATTTTAAAATGATTGAATGATTTGATAAATTGGTGAATTTTTATTGGATGACTGTATAAATTATTTTTTACATTGACGATGCATATCTATTAAATTTTTTAACATTAGAAAAATTTTAATAATTAAAAAACGTGAGATGAATGATGAGTTGCAAAATACTCGAAAAAATATTAATTAATGTAATTTGTTCTTCAAAATTATTTGTTAGACGATAGGCTTGGATTTAGAGAGCATGAATAGATCACAAGTTTAAAATAAACCTGCCAAAACTTTGTTTAAAAAAATATATGGCACAGCGAAAATAACCCGAGTTGAATAGTCTAACAAAACTTACTATCGAAAAGTTCGGATATGCGTAGTGAAAATCGATGGAATGATAATGAACACGAATTGTTCAACAACGGTTAATTCAAGGATCAATCAAATGTAAAGATATTCGTAAAGCTTATTTTCAATGAACACAAAATGATAAAAATACTCATAAAATTTATCGAACACTTTGTGTGCGATCGATCACGTTTGAAAATTCAATTTTTTTTGTTGATGTTAAAATCCAATAACAATCAAAGTGATTATGAATATATCAATAACAACAACACTTTAAAAGATAGTTGAAAATGATTTTCAATTAAATTAATCGAAACAACAATTAAAGGAAATAAAGCGATAAAGAGACATAAGGATTTGTTTAGGCAGTTCTCCAATTGGCCTTACTATGGATACGTCTGCCCTATATCCAAAATCGAATTGAGATACTTGTAATTATCCTTATCTTTGCAAAAAAAATTATACAAGAGATGAAGAACTCTAACCCCATAAATTTTATGGTTTGTTGTTGATTCTACCACCTTCAAGCCCTTGATCAAAGTTACCAACAATGCGGCTACAAGTCTTCGATTATCCCGAGCACACACTTGTTGAACCCAAGATTTCCGAACACGATTCACCGTCTCATACTACTCCCTTGCAGGGAAACCATTTTGTCCCAATGCCTTCACTCGGTCGAATCCGTGTTGACGTGATCTTCTCCAAACTATCAAATCCCAATGATCTTGAAGGAAATCCCCACCTTGATTTTTTTATTTGAAGATGATGAGAATGCTTTGTAATTTGTTTTTTTTAGGTAATTCACTAGTATCTTGCTAGAAAAATGTGCATGTATGTGTGTGTGTGTGTGTGTGTGTGTGTGTGTGTGTGTGTGTGTGTGTGTGTGTGTGTATATATATATATATATATATATATATATATGTGTGTGTGTGTGTGTGTGTGTGTGTGTGTGTGTGTGTGTGTGTGTGTGTGTGTGTGTGTGTGTGTGTGTGTGTGTGTGTGTGTGTGTGTTTGTGTGTGTGTGTGTGTGTGTGTGTGTGTGTGTGTAGACTTAGGCAAAAAGGATGCAACCAAAATAGAATGCAAAACAAAATTTTGAGTTTGTAGGATTATAGGTCGGGCTATGAAAGCAACAGGTCAATCTGTCAAGGTGTTCAGGTCGACCTGAGTAAGGCGACCTGTGGGCAGAGCCTACAGACTTGAATATTGGAGCATGGAAGTAGACATGTAATTCTATGTGCCTGCCTATACTAAAGCAAAAGGTTCTATAGGTTGGCCTGAACTCGTATAGGTCGACCTATGTGATTGTGTTTACACATAGTTTGGTTTTTGATGTGTATGGCATGTCTAAGGTTAAAATGATCATTGCACATCTAAACTTAAGTTGATACTGTCCAATATACAAAAACGCTAAGTCATACTATTAGTTTTGACATCATTCAAAACATGACTAAGTTGCAGAATGCACACACATTATTTTGTAAATCAATTTAAAAAATTCAATGTTCAATTAGGGCTAAGTAATACCAACAATCCACATTAGATATAATATATAATAAATTTAAGTTTGTTTTACTAGTGGATTATATTTCAAAACCAAAGAGATACATTTTTTCGCCATTTAAAAATTTTAAAAAAGATTTTATTAGAGATCGAATTCATTACCTTTTCAACTATTCTCTCGATTATTCAGAAATGAATAGATAAAATTGCAATTTTTCATATCGTTTTTTATTATCTCGTCTGTGTAATCAAAATAAAATATATTTCGCATCTTAGGTAATGTGTTTCTTGTTATAGTAGTTTTAATATTATTTTTAAAAGGTTTAATTGATATACACTTGTAACATAAAGATTTATATTATCAAATAATTATATTTGTTAAATTTTGATTAATATTTGACTCTTAGTTTAACCATTTATAAAATTCTATCGGTTGTAAATTCACCAATAATCTAACACTTTCTACAATATCAAAACATATTCTTTTTAGAATTAAGTTTATGTCCCCACTTTTCTCTCCCTTATTGTTAATAAATCTTTTACTTATAAAAGAAAATTTTCATATCTTTTAACAACTTTTTAGATCTCACCTCATTTTTTATAAATATTTATATTTTGAACCTGTAGTATTCATTCTGATATTTTCTTTGAAAAAAATCAATGGCTGCTCTTGAAAAATATCTTTATTTCAAAAAGAAAAGATAAAAATATTTTAGTCTAAAGGAAAATATCAAAAACTTTAACTTTAACACCAGAATATCTTTAAAAACTTTAAGAAAAATATCTCTGTCTCGAGTAAAAACTAAAAAGTTATAAATTAAATTATGCATACTGTATTACAACTTTTCCGATCACACCTCATTTATTATATTTATAGTTTAAATATGTAGTATTGATTGTGACATTTTCTTTGGAAAATATCGTTACTTCAAAAAAGAAAATATCTTAGTGTGAAGCAAAATGTAAAAAACTTAAAGTTTAATATCAAAATATCTTAAGAAACTTTTTGAAAAATATCTGTCTCAACTACAAACAAAAAACTTATAAAATAAATTTTGCATATTGTTTTACAACTTTTTGAATCACGCCTCATTTGTTATATTTATATTTTGAACATGTAGTATTGATTGTGATGTTTTCTATGAAAAAAGTCAATGGCTCTTCTGAACAAATATCTTCACTTTAAAAAAGAAAAATATCTTAATTTGAAGCAAAATATCAAAAAACTTAAATTTTAACATCAAAATATCATAAAGTTAAATAAAAACTTTAGAAGTTATGACAATATATTTTGTATTTTTTTTTCTTCTCGACTTACATAAATTTCATTGTTTAAGAATACAAAAATATCAAATAAATATAAAGATTTACTCTTAAAATGAGATTCATATTTATGAGGTCCCTTAAACAAGGCAGTATATGTCCTCTGCAGGGTTCCTATCACATG